AACTTTTGCTTTTCACTCACATAGTAGTAGGTAGTGCTCCGATTCTTCCATGGATGATCTCATGCTCAAAACTTGTGATTTGGCCTACTCTAACTCTTGCTTTTCACTCACATATTTGGTCTACTTTAACTCTTGCTTTTCACTCACATAGTAGTAGGTAATGCTTCGATTTTTCCATGGATGATCTCATGCTCAAAACTTGTGATTTGGTTTACTCTAACTGTTGCTTTTCACTCACATAGTAGTATGTAGTGCTCCGATTCTTCCATGGATGATCTCATGCTCAAAACTTGTGATTTGGCCTACTCTAACTCTTGCTTTTCACTCACATAGTAGTAGGTAGTGCTCCGATTCTTCCATGGATGATCTTATGCTCAAATCTTGTGATTTGGTATAGTTTACCTCTTGCTTTTCACTCACATAGTAGTAGGTGATGCTCTGATTCTTCCATGGATGATCACATGCTCAACCTTTGTGATTTGGTATAGTCTACCTCTTGCTTTTCGCTCACATAGTTGTAGGTGATGCTCCGATTGTTCCATGGATGATCCCATGCTCAATTCTTGTGATTTGGACTAGTCTAGCTTGTGATTTTCACTCACATAGTAGTAGGTGATGCTTCGATTCTTCCATGGATGATCCCATGCTCAATTCTTGTGATTTGGATAATAGTCTAGCTTGTGCTTTTCAGTCACATAGTAGTAGGTGAGGCTCCGATTCTTCCATGGATGATCTCATGCTCAATCCTTGTGATTTGGTCTAGTCTACCTCTTGCTTTTCACTCACATCGTAGTAGGTGATGCTCCGATTCTTCCTTGGATGATCTCATGCTCAATTCTTGTGATTTGGTCTAGTCTACCTCTTGCTTTTCACTCCCATAGTAGTAGGTGATGCTCCGGTTCTTCCATGGATGATCTTATGCTCAATTCTTGTGATTTGGTCTGGTCTATCTCTTGTTTTTCACTCGCATAGTAGTAGGTGATGATCCGATTCTTCCATGGATGATCTCATGCTCAAGTCTTGTGTTTGATCTTGTCTAAACTCATGCTTTTCACTTCACATAGTAGTGGATGAGGTCCCGATTCTTCCTTGGTTGTATTCATGAGCCATAAGCATGTGTGTGAGCAAGTCTCACTTACATGCATGGCTCAACTCTCACATAATGACATTCCGTTTCATGCTTGATTGCATTTATGGGCCATACGCATGTGTTTGAGCAAGTCTCACTCACGCATGGCTCAAGTCTCACATGATGACATTCCTTTTCATGCTTGGTTGCATTCGTAGGCCATAAGCATGTGTTTGAGCAAGTCTCACTCTCATGCATGACCCAACTCTCACATGATGACATTCCGTTTCATGCTTGGTTGTATTGATGAGCCGCAAGCATGTGTTTGAGCAAGTCTCACTCACATGCATGGCTCAACTCTCATATGATGGAATTCTGATCCATACTTGGTTGCTCTTTTATCCTTGTGCATGTGCATTCGTTAGTTCACCCCTCACCTTGTCAAGTTCATGTGTATGGTAGTGTTCCGGTTCATCACTTGGTTGCTCTTTCATCCTTGTGCATGTGCATTCGTTAGTTCAACCCTCACCTTGTCAAGTTCATGTCTATGGTAGTGTTCCGGTTCATCACTTGGTTGTTCTTTCCTCCATATGCATGTGTATTCACTAGTTCTAGTTTCACTTTGTCAAGTTCATGTGTATCGTAGTGTTCCGGTTCATCACTTGGTTGTTTTTTCCTCCATGTGCATGTGTATTCACTAGTTCTAGCTTTACTTTGTCAAGTTCATGTGAGTTGTAGTGTTCTGATTCACACTTGGTTGCTCTTTCCTCCATATGCATGTGTATTCACTAGTTCAACCTTCACTTTTTCACGTTCATGTGAGTTGTAGTGTTCCGATTCACACGTTGCTTTTTCCTCCATGTGCATGTGCTTTCACTAGTTCTAGCTTCACTTTGTCAAGTTCATGNCGATTCACACTTGGTTGCTCTTTCCTCCATGTGCATGTGTATTCACTAGTTCAACCTTCACTTTGTCAAGTTCATGTGAGTTGTAGTGTTGTTCATGTGAGTAGTAGTGTTTCGATTCACACTTGGTTGCTCTTTCCTCCATGTGCATGTGTATTC